GGAATGGCACTGCGCATGAGACGGGGCTGTGCATGGATTGAGGCTCTACACGAGCCCTACGAAGCTGAGGGATGAGCATGGGATTGTGCATGACTTTATGGTATGGGTAGTAATGGAAATGGAGATGGGTTGTGTTGGAGCTAGAGATAGAAACAAGAACAGGACAGAGCTCCAATGTTCCCACCCACACATCCGCCAGGGTCAAGGATGGTGCCAAAGCTGCAGCCCCCACAACCTGCTGTGCTCCACAATGGGGCTCTGTCCCTTCTCCCCTTTCTTTGGCCACCTTTGTACCCACAAAACCAATGATAAGAATCAAACAAATATATGCATGTATTTTCTCATGCATGTATTTTCTCATGCATGCACATATAAGTACCCAGAAGAGCTCTGTAAAGGGATCTCCTTATCTTGCCCCACAGAAATAGCAGATCTGCTCTAAAAGATAATAATGTATTATAATATAATACTATTATTAATAATATTATTAACTATAACAAAAAGGGATGGGAAGAAAACTTTCTCAATCAGCTTGCAGCTGCTGTGAATGCAGGGCTCAGGTACAGCAGTGGCATTTCTGGTGTGCCCTGGTCCAGTTTCTCGTTAGAGGGGAAAAGAATAAACCATGTCTTTCAGAACTCATTCATCTCCCCCCACACCTCTTCTTTAAATAGAAAATAAATTTAATTCACACCTGGTATATGCAATCACTGACAGAAATAGTGCAAGTCTGTGTTTGAGCATTGGATCCACCACATTGGATCAGTTGTGTTTGAGTCAATGAACCCTATTGGTCCCTTACAACTCAGATATACTAAGATTCTATGACTGTTCTCCTGTACTCTGCCCTCACAAGGCCCCTATGGAGTACTGCATCGAGGCTCAGAGCCCCCAGCACAGGAAAGACACAGAGCTGTTGGAACAGATCCAGAGGAGGCCATGAAGATGACCAGAGGGTTGGAGCACCTCTCCTATGAAGAAAAGCTTGGAAGCTGGGCTTGTTCAGCCTGGAGAAAAGAAGGCTGTGAGGTGACTTCATTGCAGCCTTTCAGTACCTAAAGGGAGCCTACAAACAGGAGGGGAATCAACTCTTTATAAGGGTAGATATCTGCAGGACAAGGGGAAATAGTTTTAAGTTGAAGGAGGGAAGATTTAGGATGGGCATCAGGAGGAAATTCTTTACTATGAGAGTGGTGAGGTGCTGGAACAGGCTGCCCAGAGTGGATACCCCATCCCTAGAGATGTTCAAGGCCAGTCTGGATGGGGCCCTGTGCAGCCTGAGCTGGTAGGCAGCAGCCCTGTCCGTGATGGGGCTTGGAACTTCCAGCCCAAGGCACTCTGTGGTTGCAAATACAAAGGGAATAAAACCCACAATAACGCCTTTCCTCAGAGACAGCTCCCTCACTCAGCAATAAAACCCCAACACATACGCCCATAACATCTCACTGAGAGAAGAATAAGTAACTAAACAGAAAAATACCTGAACTCACAGGGAAAAGCGTGCACCACCTGCGAGCAGAGCATTCCGCAGACACGCGGGCAGCGCCCACCTCAGCGTAGCGAGTCCCGCAGCTCCCGAGGCCCGTGACGGAACCGCAGCGACCACGCGTGCAACCTCTGGCCGCGCCTCGCTACGCCCGCTGCCACGCGACCACAGGCACCCCACGGCTGCCGCGCTCTCCCACCTGCCGGCCGGCTTCCAAGCTCCACCCCTCCCCTGCGTCCCCTACTTCCGCTGCCGGCTTCCCTCAGCCAATCACCTACAGCGAGACGAGCGCGAGTATCACTACGCGCTGCCCTCTCCCCCAATCCACGCCGACGTTACGAGCCTCCCGCTCGGCGGAACGAAGGCGAAGGGGCGGAGCCACTCGAACAAGGCGGCTGCTAATTGGGCGCCGCCCCGCCAATCGGCGCTGTCCTTTCAGCCGGCGGCGAGGCGAAGGGGGCTGCGTGTTTCCGGAAGACGTGGCCGTTGTCGCCCTGCTGCTGCCGTTCGGCTCTTTCTCCTTCCCCGCCGTCGCCCCGCCGCCACCATGATCTCCCTCTCGGACACGCAGAGTGAGCGCTGCGCCCTCGCCCCGTTGGCTCCCGGTGGGAGGGGAACGCGGGTCTCCCGCCGTGGCGGAGTGGCCGTCGGAGTGCTGGCGGGAGGGCTGAGTGAGCCCGGCATAGGGCCGCACGTGACGGACCCACCCCAGTATCGCGCCCTTTGTTGGCGCTTCTTGCTTTCGGAGTATGGGCGAAGCACGGGGCCGGGCGGTGCGGTGGAGTCGCTGGGAGGGTCCGGCTCAGGCGGTGATTGCCGGCGGTAGGGATGTGCGGGCCGAGAGGGAGCTCAGCTGCTGCTGTCAGCATCGCCGTGCTTTGAGGGACGCTATGGATGCGCTCATACCTTGGGGCGGCGGTACTGATGGGGCTCGTGGGGTGAAGCTGAAAGCGAGGGGGGTGTGAGCTTAGAACAGAGCCTATCGGGGCCCTCCCAGCATCTTCAGGTGGGCGTTGGTCAACAGCGCTGCTGCTGCCGGCGTCTGCTTTGGGATGTGAGGTGTTTCGCGGTGGTGGTGTTGCTGCCTGGCGGTAATGGCAAGAAGAGAATGAATGAAAACCGACACTGGTACACAAAAGTGAGAATTGGCAGATGTCTGTTATCCCGTATGCCTCCATGTGGACGTTAATGGTTTTGAGTAAATACATATCAGTGTCTTTACTGTTCCTTTTAACTTTGTTACTGAATGGAGTGTTTGCAGGTGACATAGAAGGGGTTTTAAGGTGAGCAGCGGGCACTCAGTCTGAAGCAAATGAAGAACAGCTTGGACCTGATAGTAGTTTTGCTTTCCCTGACTAGGAATAGCTGGGGTTAAAGATGCTGAAAGGGAAAATTGAAAGAAATCAGAGGGCTTGTAGGCATTGAAACTGCAAAGAAAAGGAGAACGTCATTCTTTTATTTAAGTTAATGCATCATGTATGATGCATTCTCAGTATAGTTGTCATAAAAGGAAATGAGCGTTGTAATGTTGCTCGAAGGAGGACAAGTGTGAAAGCTGTAGGGAAAGGAAGTTTAACTTGATAGCAGAGCACTGAAAACACTGGTAAACCAACTGAGGCAAAGGATGTAAATGGGCAGTAAAGCGGGTTAGCAACACACAAGGTTAATGACTTCCTGAGAAATTCAGGTGCTATGCTCTGCTACTGGAATGGGTGTTAAATTTTAGAGCTAATTCTTAGGTATATAATGTGTTAAAACCTTGTAGGCTTCACTTTTGCCCATTCCTCCGTTGTCCCATCCAAAGTATTCATTGGGAAAAAGAGCTCTGTTCACTGTTTGTACTTGTCTTAATTTCTTTTTGGGACACTGAGCTGTTAGCTTTAACTCAGAGCTGCGAGTAGTAGATGTAGGGTGAGGCTTTTGAATTTCAGCATTTTTCTAAGATATTTCTTCAGATGTTTTGAAACTCACTTCTGTTTGGGAAAATACAGAATTGTAACACAAAAAATAATTACTTTTATAAAAAAGATAGTGTGTAGTACCGTCCCTTAACTTTCATAACCAGTCTATCTTAAGACTTAGTATTTGCTAAGATTTTGGTGCTTTGCTGCACTACTCACACAATTCATGGGGTTTCTGTAGGAACACTGGGAATGTGTTGATCCCTCCCCTCTGCAAATTGCAGTTATTAAAGGATAGCTGTCACATGGCTGGAATGTGTATCTGCATTTCTAGACACTGAAAAAGTTGTATTTGAGTGATATATAGGAAGGCTTTTATGTCATGGGAGAAAGCATTCTAACAGTAGTTTATGCCCATCACAAAACTTCCTAGCTTGTTGTTTGCCAAGACTACAAAATGACAGGGCCAGACATACTTGACTTGATGTTCTTTGGAGGAAAAAAAAACAGAACTAACACAGTTCTGATGTGATTGGATTGGTAACATTTACTTGAAATGAATCCAGAACTACTGCCCTCCATTGCCAGTATCTCATCTGCTTTCAGCAGTAACTTTGGGATGATGAGAATGGTGGGCATTTTTTTTCCTGTGCTAACCAGAGAGTATGGTTGATTTCTAAAGGGAAACTGAACCTGCTGTGGCAGTAAGTGGTTACAAATGGTTTTCAAGTGAATACAGAAGTGTTAGAGCTGTAATTGCAGCAGCTGTTGGGAGTTAGCCTCTGTTTCTTGCTCGCACCCCACTTTGTACTGTGTCTGAAGAAGGAATGAGTACTTGCTTCCCCAGCAGCATATTTATCTTATTGGCAGCTGGTAATTCCTTTGGAATCCTGCCTCAGAGTGTTTTCTTTCCAGAATACAGATTGTTTCTGCTCTTCTAAAGTAAAGAGCACTAGAAGAAAGGGCAGACTACAATTCCTATGTTAGTTTCAGTCAGTTGATTCAGTGGAGATGCAATTTGCAATTCACTGTTTATTGCAGTTCATTGTAAGAAAGTACTGTAAATGTCTGCAGAGAGGTAATTGTCTTGTAGTGATTTTAATACAGAGCAGTTAAAATGCTCATAGTAAAGCTTTAATGTGGCAGACTTAATACCATGATTTAACACCATGTGGTCAGCAGCCTTGCTGAAAGGAGAAGTTGGGGAATCTGGACGTTGCTGTAACAAATCTCTTTACTCTGAGCTGTTTGGGAATTTTCTGTTGTAAATTAAGCATCTGAAGTCGACAGTGTTATGATCCTTCATTCCTGAGCTCTTCAGGCGATGTTAAATGGTATGTTTTACAGTCAAAAGAGCAAATAAAAATACGTTTAGATATCTCTTCCAGATTTAATTTGGCTAGTGGTGTCAGTGAAGGGCTTTTTGTTTGTTAGGCCTAGGCCACACAAAAATACTGACATCTTTAAAGTATACTGGATTGCCAGCCTGCCTGTATTAATACTATAGTATTAATATAGTATATTATATTAGTATAGTATATAATGTTAGTTAATGTTGTTTTTGCTAGCTGTGTGTTTGTCCTGTAGATTTCTAAATTCTCCAGTCATGATGGTGAGTGCGTCGATAGACACCAAAGCTTTTACAGCTAAGATTGCTTCTGTTCCTGTTATTTCTTGTATTCGGTCTGTGTGAGAGTGACAGGAAGGCCATAGGCATTTAATTTTAAAGGTGTGATGTACTTCTGTGTATGTTCTTCAAAATACCTCAGAGGCTATTGTCAAATGATGGTTTTAATCGTAGCCTGACATTTCCAGGCAAATGAATCTTCCATCCTGCTCTTGCCTATCCAATATTTCTTGAACAACCTTGACCGACAGGCAGAGCTCAGAGATAGATACCACCTACGAGTCCTGTGAAAACTGACAGCTGGCAGGAGACCCAAGCTAATGTTTAACAGCCATCAGCATGTGTTATATGGAAGCAGCCTGCAGCATTAATCTGTGTTGCATTTAATCCGGAAGTTGGGAAAATGGGATTGCCATGCATGTAATATGGAACGTGAGGTCTCAGGAGGACGAGGTACTTGTGTGTTTGCAATAAGCATTATGGGATAAGAGTTGCAAATAGAAAACAAGGTTTTATTATCTGTTCCCAAAATAGTCCTTGCTAGCAGTAAATCAAAAGGGATGTTTGCCATATGTGTATATCCATACATGCTTTTGTTGCATTCAATTTCAGTACATTGTTAAATTGATCCTTTTTATGATAAGCAGTTCCCAAACATCTCTTTTTCTGGTATTGAAATAACTGGTTTATACAGGACTAGCTTTATTTGTACGTTCAGGGAAATTTTTAAGTAGTCATGAAATAGTCTGTGAGCTTGTCTATGAATTTAAACTTCCTGTGTGTTGCATTTTCCAAGTTTGTATCAATTTCTAAGCATGAGTTTTTCCTGTTACCATGGTATGTAATATACTTAATTTTATTTCTCCTTGCAGAGATCGGAATGGGTTTAACAGGTTTTGGAGTGTTTTTCCTTTTCTTTGGAATGATACTCTTCTTTGACAAAGCTCTCCTTGCTATTGGAAATGTAAGTGTGTATCTTTTAAGTATATAATATATTAAAAATAAACTTAGAAGATTATATATTTTCAATTAGAAACTGGGTCATAACAGGTACTGTGATAACTTAGTGTAAAGGAAGAGTTATGTGCAGTGATCTGAGTGAATCATTTTCTCTGATTAACATTAGAGAAGCTCACATCAGTCTTAATGTTGTATCTCCAGGTCAGGCCTGTGGTATGTTGGTCTGACAAGCAGCAGCTTGTCCTACAGTTATGCTGATGCAAATAAGACTTCTAGATTAGCTATCATTACTAACACTTTCTTTTTATGGTCTTGTAAGGTAACTGTAAAAGCTAGGTATCTATTTGAATAAGAATGCTGATGGTGTGTTCTGTGCATTGTGTTAAATGCTGTTTTGCTGTGCTTTATTAGGATGGAGAGAAGCATGAATTGGTGGTAATGGCTTAGGAGAGCAGATCACCACAACAGAAAGCTGAAATATCTTCAGTTTTTACCAAAATGAAATTTTTGCTTAAGCAGGATAGAAAATAAATCCTAGGTCAGGTACATAAAATAACATGGTGTTTTCTAAATCTGATACTGCTGTGCCCCAGCTGTTGTCAGCTTTGCCAGCCAGCGAGCCCAGCTTGATAGAGATTTGTGTCCTCCTTTGATTACCAAAAGTCTGTGGACAAAATGGACCAGTTTCAATCTGTGACAGCAGTATCAACTACTGCGGTTTGTTGGATGGAAACTCTATGAATGTTCTTTGAAATTGGGTGCACGCTGAAAGAGTAGAGAATAAAACAGTGCTTATATTGCTGTGTTTCTAAGATAAGGTGGAAATGCAAGATCCAGTTTGGGGAAAATAATGAGAATGTAGGTAGGAAGAGACAGTTAAAGGCAGCGTGGTAACCAGAGATAACACAAGAAAAGTTACTATATATCATTAGAGGAAAGTTTAATTATAAAAGAGAAGGGGTAAAAGGCGGTAAGGAAGTAGCTTCATGTTTGTGGTTTGTGTTTGTTTTTTGTTTTACATAACATAAACTTGAATTTCATCTGTTAGTTATGAGTAAAATCTGAGATGTAATCTCTTTCCAGAAAAGATGTTGCCCAGATGTATGCTTACAGATTGAAGTAATGCTCTGCTGCTGAAGGATACTCAAAACAGTTTTAGCTAGGTTAGACTGCTGTGATGATGGTCAGCCTACACTGGAACTAGTGAATAGTAGTAGCCTGTTACACAGACAAAATTAAGGAAGATAGCTGATAATGCCCTTCAGCTTTTTTCTTGTTTTGCCTTTGCAATGATCGGCACAAGCTATTGAAGATGACCATCATAGGGTGCTTCTGAGCATGTCTGTTCCCAGATATAGGAGTCTTAGCTGTTAGTGGTACTAATCTTCAGTACTGACTGCAGGTAACGACTGTATTTATATTACAGGAAAGACAGCTGTTGTCACCAGGTCTTCTGACATGATTATGCTTGTTAGAGGCCACGAAAGTGGACTCTTAAAATCACTAATAAGTTCTCTCATTGTTAATCTCATATTAAAATAAGTTGTGCAAAAATGCACTCTAATTTTGTAGATTAATAATATGTGCTTCCATTCTAAACTTAGGAATGTATTTAGCTGTGTTCTTTATTTGGTTGGTTTTTGTCTCTTCTAGGTTTTATTTGTGGCTGGCTTGGCTTTTGTTATTGGTTTAGAAAGAACATTTAGATTCTTCTTCCAAAAACACAAAATGAAAGCAACGGGCTTTTTCCTGGGTGGTGTGCTGATAGTTCTGATTGGTTGGCCTTTAATAGGAATGATTCTTGAAATTTATGGGTTCTTCCTATTATTCAGGTAAGACTTGCTTCAAAATTGCTTTCTATATTGATGCATTGAGGAGCACATGTACTTGCTTAGTGTACTGTATTACAACTGAGAAAGCATTCTTTGAGTGTTCACTTCTGCTGGATTTTGTTTAAAGCTGTTGGGTTATATTTGCAAGAAGTGAAAAGGTTCCAGGACTCAAATTTGCTGATGTTGGTGAGGCGGATATCAAACTGACTTCTGGCAATGTAGCTTATATCTAATCCAATAACTGTACAGCTTCAAAATATTTGGGAGATCAAATTGTTGTAAGTGCCAAGTTTTAAGTATTTCCATATAAAAGAAAACTAAAATGCCTATTTTCTTGGTTTTGTTGGTTGAGTTGTTGGTCGTTCGGCTTTTTTGGTGGAGAGTTTGTTCTTTGAATTAATAAATGAGGCAAAATATGTGCTTACAAACATCTTATCCTACAAACCTTGCAGGTGAGGAGGTGGCTTCTGTGATGTGTTGTTATACTTGTGCCCTGTTTGCAATGTATGACATGCTGGTTTTGGTTACTGATGTCTGAAATGACTTAAGCATTTGTTCCTCCTCTACGTAGGTGTTACATACTTAATAACGTTACAACAGGCATGTTGCATCTGTTACAACATGTCATTTAACTTACAATTAATTGTAAGGGTGAAAGAACCTGGGTTGTTGCAACATACCATTTATTTCCATGGTTGAAGTTCCATACTTCAGAAAACAAAGTAAGAAAGTGTGTTAATATAAGTAAGAAGGGAAGATTTTGTCAGTTCCTGGACTTCTCTTTTGAAGACAAAATTCCATCTAATGCTTATTTATTTAACATAAGGCCCACTGAATTGTTATCTCAAAGTCACTAGGACTACATCTTACCCTGAAAAGTGTCAACAACTGATAAATAATTCCAAATGAATTTTTAAACCTGCCTCTAAACAACTTTTCCTACTTCTTGATACTTGCTAAGAATTGTATCTCTTGTTACAGTGCTAGCAAGTTACTACTTCAATCAAAGCTCTTTGTTTTGCTTCAGATTTGTCAGTATCAACTGTAATTATATTTTTGGGAACTTTTTGTGTGGTAGGTGCACTGTATTATACTTTATTTGGTCTCTTTATTTATTTATTTATTTTAGACCACTAAAACAGTTCCACCAGAATTTTTGTGTGTAGACAGTTCTCTTGTCCAGTTAGACTTCTTGTATGAAGTCATCTTTCATACTCTGCAGAAGAAATTGCACGAAGCAAAGCTTTTAGGTACTGGTAGCCAGGAACACTTAAACAGTTAATAATGATAGCAGAGATTTTTACTTAATACATGTTTTACTGCAGTGAGAGAGATGCAGTTGTGATTTTACTCTGGATTATATCCAGAATGTCCTTCCCTTTATTTAGTGTACTGCCAGAAGTTTCCTATCAGAGATTCAGTTCTTTGCCTTTACACATTCAAATTGCATTCCCTGGAGACAGCTATTACAGTACACTCTCTTTTCTCATAGTCTAAACTGCTCTCCGAGCCTTGTTCAGATCAAAGATATCTGAAGTTCTTGTTAAAGATGCTATCCTAACTATAATGGCTATTTTGCATTCTTGGCTACACCAATTACACGTCTGTCTGTTAGAAGTGGTTTGTGTGCCCTGCATCATGGTACGTAGGTTCAGTGTAATGATCTGGTCTTTAAAAAAGAATAATAATATGGATAGCCCAGGGAGGAGGGAGGACTTATTGGTATTGATATGATCCAACAAAATTGTTTTTACCAGCAAGAGGATGGTGAATATTGAAATTCCTCTGGTCAGACATGACAGGTGGATTTAGATGCCAATCCTTATTCTATGCTGGGAAGTGTATAGCTCAGCTAGAGAACATATAATGCCAGTACCAGCTGAATTGCTGCAGTTGACTTCAGACAGCTGAGATACTGCCACAGAAAATCCTTCTTCCTGCTGCAGGGACAAACTGGTAGTGCAGGGGCTAGACCCTGCCAGCTGTAAAAGGCAGCAACTCCTGGTTCGTCATTCAAATTTCTGACATTACATGTATTTGTCAATTATGTGAGTGCACAAACATGTTGTGCTTAATTTTCTTTAATCGATTAAACGCTGCCATATCTGGTTTCAAAGTGGATTACCTAGAATTACCTTCCAAGTGTTTTTACATTGGATATAGAGAGATGAGTGATATTGCAAGAATGTATTTCCTATAAGGTTAAAAAAAGTTATCTCAATGTTTATAATAATTTTGAGAAAGTAGATGAGAACATCAGTTCTCTTGACTAAGTTGGATATTCATCTCTTAGTTAATTCTCTGAACAGCTGATTCTGAGGGTTGCCAACTATGAGGAAAATGTTTACCTCAATTTAAAATAATCTTTCTTTCTGTTTGTTTGTTTTTTCTTTGCTAAATGTCTGTTCATGTACTTGGTGAAGTAATTTTCAGTGAAGGAATGACAGCACTTGAATTTCCAGTTCTTCAGAGCAACGTTAGAATAGTTTGTTTATAAAAACTAATACAATATTTTTATCTAACCTAAAGGGGGTTCTTTCCTGTGGTGATTGGCTTTATTAGAAGAGTTCCAGTCCTTGGTTCTCTCTTGAATTTACCTGGTATAAGCTCGGTAAGTGTTTGGCACTTAATGTAAAATGCAAGGCTTTTGCTATTATTCCTATTTCATTACTATTGCAGTAGCACAAATGCATTGGGAGTAAATAAGATACAGCTTTTTGTAACAATGAATTTGAATGTATTACTGCATAGTTTTTGAACCGCACAAATAACCCTCAAATAACCCTCGTTCCCAGTGAGAGGCTTTCAAATGTAAAAGAAACAACACCTTTGCAGAAGCTGCCCCTGCTTAAGCCTTGTGAAGGGGAAAAAGCCCTGGATTGTGAGTCGGGATTGTGACTATGAATACTGGTTCCTGCCTCACTGCTGGCCCTAGGTGACCACAGACAGGCAAACCGTGCAACTGTTCTGTTGTGCCTCTTCTGTTCTGTGCCTCTTCTCCTGCCTGTCAGAGAGAGGCATTTCTCCTCTTTGTGCAGCATCTGGATGTATCTAAGAAAAGTAGTCTGTAGTAACAAAGAGGTTTGCACAGTGTTAATTTGCAGCTTGCATGGTGAATCCAGAAACTCTCATTATGCATAATCATTCATCAAGTACAACATTTATTCAGGCCTGCTGTAACGGATTGATTCTTGGCTATTTACTAAGCTCTGTACTTCTTCAAATGCAGTTTTCCATTTTCTTAACTAAGTAACCAGGGATTCTTAACTAAGTAGCCAGTAAATGGGTGCCAGAAAGATGGTAATCTAGGTAGGGTATTTTGGTCAACTGCTTTTACTGTGATAATTTCTGTATGTATTTTAACACAAATGTTTTTAACCCTGGTTTTGAAAGCTACAGGTTTAATAGCTGCTGCTTAAAAATTAATAGGGGACGTAACTAAGAGATATATCAGTCTGTATTTTAAAAATCAGTTTTCAAGATCATGTGTTCCAATTGTACAGCTTAGGCCACGTTCTGGCTCATCGTTCATGATCAATTGAATGTTTTACTTGTCAATTGATCTTGTCTACTCACATTTAATTTGATCATAATGGGGTTAAATCTTCTTTTAAAAAGATAATTGTTAATGTTTTATTCAAAGCCTACGTAGGCTCAGAAGAGAATCCACAGTAATGGTCAGTTGAAATATCTTACTTGGTCTTCTAATGCATGTGTGGCTGATACCGCATTGTTTTGTTTTAATCATTAAGCTAGCAGTGGTATCTGTATTCTTCTATTTCCTTTTTCATTCTCTTGCATCTTCATGTTGCGCTGTTAATGTCTTATATAAGAAAACATGTCATCTAGAAACACAGTTGCAATGCAAGATTTTTAATTTCACAAACTTAAATCATGAAACCTTGGTGAGTACTACTCTCATTTTCAGTTACATACCAACTGTGCAAACAGCAAGTTGCATCTGAGACTAAATTAAATTGTACATAAGTGTATTGTAGCTTAAAGCTTCTTTTGTTTCTTTTTTGCAGCTTGTAGATAAAGTTGGAGAAAGCAACAACATGGTATAATGACAAGAGGGCAGAAGACTGATTCTAAACTTATTGTATTATTTATAAAATCCTTTTGAAGAATACTCAGCACAAAGATTAAGTTGTGTACAAAGGAAAGGCTTGTAACATTCTTTACATAACAGTTTAAATTAAAATGTATAGTCGACAGTATACATTAGAAGCTGGGCAAGTATGCTTCTAGGAAAAGTAACTCCAGAGTTCAGGAAGTAAACTGAAGAGGTGAAAGTCATGGAATAACTCACATTACAACTGTTCAAGACTGTGTTTGTTGGTTTTGGAAAAGGTAATGAACCCTTCCGGATTTAAAGGTGCCTGTACCTTACCTCCTCATTGTGAAGGTGCAGTAGAGCAAACAGGCCTCCATTTTTAAGGTCACTCCAACTTCTCCAACCTTCCTCTTGTTACCCTCAGAATGCAAAACAAACAAACCAAAAAAAAAAAAAAAAAAGCAGAGTACAGAGAACTTGTGTAACAGGAGATGCAGCTTTGCATGAAAGTTGAGATGACTGTTCATCTCTAAGTATATCATGACTAAAAAGGAAATCCTGCACACTTCTGTTGTATGTATTTCTGTAAATATGTGGTTGAAATAAAACATTAAGATAATGTTTCAAAGCCAAATGTAAGTTGACTGTATTTGCCTTCCATTTTGGAATATGCAGAAGGTCAGTCTTCAGTAACTTCAGTCTTAAGTGTTGATTCTGAACATGTAGAGTTCAACAGGGAACTCTAGAAACTGACTTACACTCCTTCCAGTTTGTTCTTCTTGAGTTATGTTATGTCTGCATCCAGGTGAGAATGTAGCCCCTTCTCACTAACGTGGAAACTTCAAAATGTGTTTGGTTAAAAAAAAAAAAAAGCACTTGGTTACAGTGCTGACATGGATCTTGTGAAATGTATCTTATCAGCATATGAACCTTTTGTTTTTAAATGGTTTGAAGCTAAGGTTTCTTTGTTTATTCTGGAACTACAAGTTGATGTTTATTTTTTACAGTAATAAAATGAAAACTTAAAACTCTGTGTATGTGAGTCTCTGGGGAGCAAATTTAGTGAATGGGCTAATTAACAATCAAGTGCCAATCTCAGCGTTATATAACTTGTTCCTTGAGTTATCTTCAAACCTTCAAGTAACTCAAAACTTGTATCTGTCATAACAACAACTTAGCCGTTGCCTGGAGTATGTGTCCCCCACTAATGCAAAGGTCACATTTCTGCTTCTCTTGGAATGTTAAACATTGTGTACTTTCAATAGATACAGCTATAGATAACTAACAAAAAGTGATCATTAAGTGATCACTGCATTTGTGAAGGTTTTGGGGATTTTCTGTTTTAATGTTCTTTTTCCCTTCAAATGTAATCCTGAAAACTTACTGAAATGCAATGATAGTATTTCACCTAGCTATGTAGTCTTAAAGGCCTAATGACTGATCTTATTATTATGCAGCTAAAATTGGTATTTTTTTCAAAACATCTTTTAAGAATTCTCAGATACTGTTTTGGAAGTTGCTACAAAGCTTTTTGTATAAGGCACCAGTGTTTTCTCATTGCAGCTGCATTAATGTTAATGGAATGGCTGTGACCTAGTATTTCTAACTCCTATATTTAATTAGTTTCCTTCTCAAACAGGCACAAAATGATTCACTGGGAGGAAAAAATGCCATGACAGTTAGTGAACAGTATCTGAGAAGACACATCAGTGTTTTCTTGAATGTTTATATGAAAAAGTTGGCTATGTTTGCCTGATAGCATGTGTTACATATGGACTAAATGTGACTTGTGGCTCCTACCTCAAGAGATGAACCAGTTTTAACTGTTCCTGCGGATCTGTTGTGTGTTAAATGACTAGAAATAACACTACAGCTGTTCAGCAAACTCATCACGTTTGCTTTAGTAGAGCAGTAGTCTGTACTGTGGGAATCAAGTGCTGTTTAAAGCAGTGTTCATCATTTACATTACAAGTCAGCTACCTGAAGATTTTTCTTGTCTTTTGAAAAGTAAGCTGATGGGACAGGTGGATCACGCCATGTGACTGGAGCTCTAACTGAAAGCAGATAGCTTGGTAAGCTGAAGTTCTTTCATTGACAAGAAATCTGACATCTTTCAGTGGTAATGAATGCATTACTGTGTATTATCTTTTAGCCCTCTGGAATTGAGATGTAGGCAGTTCATCTTGCTCCTGTTTAATTTTTTGTTTTAAATGAAAAGTCAATTTTTGTCAGTTTTGAACTGTTGTGGAATGCATCTGAGGGAACAAAAGGGTATGCTGAGTTTTACAGAGTCTTAATCCCTCAAGGTAATGTTGTCTTTTAGATGGTTTTGCCAAGATAAATGTGGGTGGCAGCAATGGTCTAAACTACTTAGCCTTAAATGTTTCTGTTGTTTAAAAAAAAAAAAATCTCTAACAGAAACATATTTGGAACGTTTCCTCTTTCATATGTAATTTATAATTGCTGCTTTAAAAAAAATTGTAAGGGTGGATTTCATTCTGAGCAAATGGATACTGTAAATATACTTGTCATATCTTGAATAAATGGGTACCTTTTTCTATAATTTGTCTTTGTGTCTCTTTACACCTGAATGCTGAGAAAACGTTTTGACAAGTATTCCTTTCCAAAGGTTAAGGAGTATGTGCTTTTCCATCTTATGGTGATTTTACTTTCATAGTGAATAGTCTTTGATTAATCTTAATTTAAAAGTTTGTCTCTTACAATAAGCATTCTTTTACATAAGCATCTGCCCCTTGCTTTTGTAGGCATCTTCCTGTACATAATAGGGTGCTGCTTGATCCCAGGGGCAATCCACTGACAATGCATAGCTTCCAGATGAATAGGACATTCTCAATTGCAGTGTATGATGTTTTCCATTGCTTTGTTGCTCACTACTGTGTAATGCTGAGCACCTTGAACTTTAGTACTTTGGTCAAAATCTGTTTCTGAAGACAAGAGCTACAATCGCAGTCACAATCCCAGCTGTTTTTCAAGTTCTTGTTTCAAACTTTACAACATGAAAATCACAATTAGGTTGGAAACTTTGCTAAACTACCATGTCCTCTTCATGCAAGAAGAGAGGAAATAAGTGAAAGTTTAGGAGAAAAAAGATGTGTCTAGAACTTATGGCAGGTTCTGATCCCTCTATTTCAAGCACACAAGTGTGATCTCTGTATCCCAGAGAGTGGCCTGATAAGCAGGCTTTGTTATTCTGTAGTGATGTGCAAGCTTGCATCCCACTGCTGTGGATTTTCATAGAGAAAGTAGAATACCAAAGCAGGAATTTAAATTTGTTGTTGAGGTGTGCTTGTTCTAAGTACTAGGTGGTGCTCTAAAAACTTAGTTTGACTGAAGTTTTAGCCTTTCTACTAGCTTTGGTAAAGTTGGTTATATCCTAAGAAGGTGGTTGTATCCAAGGAGTTAATGCTTCCTGGTTTAAAAAAGAAAAAAAAATTCCGAGTACACCTAGTTGTATCTGTTAAACTGTGAGAGATATAATCTAAATCTGTGTATAGTTTATGGCCAGTTACTTTTGGGGAACCGTTGCCATTTATTAACCAAGAATACTTTGACATTGTTATTGCTCACAATATGGTACTGCTATTTTAAGAGACTATCAGCAAGGTTATAAAAGACATCTCTGCAGAAGATGTCACAAGGCAAGACTTTATTTGATTACTTTAAAGCAATCTCCTTGCCAAGTTTCAAGCTAATTTCAAGGTATAGGCTATTCTAGCTGCCACCTTTCTGGTTTGCTTAATTACAAAGCTGAAAAAGTAAAGTTCACTTCCCTATAATGACTGTAGGTTTCCCTGCAGTCCCTTTTAATATGTTGCTACCAGCCCTTGGTCTCCATCTCTCTGGCTGCTGTGTCCTGGCTTCCTTTGGCTATTATTTCTACTCTTCATGTTAGCATTATCAGCTCTGACAGCACCAGTGTGCCATTTCCAGTCTTTTTTAATAAACAGTTTTGGCTTTTTTGGCCCACTATTGTTCTCAGCTTTACCCCTGCAGTATTGGTCTTGGCACATCAAAACATTTCATAAAATCTGCAACTCGTGCTTAGTCTAACAGGGATTCTGAAGTTACCGTAATCCCCGTCCAAGCAAATTTCAACACATTTTTAATATGCTAACGCATCCCCCTCAACTACGTGATAATTTGCAGAAAAAAAAATGAAGTGATGCGGAGTAATTTAGTGTGAAACTCATGATGCCGAAGTCGGGATTTGTAAACAGATCTTGAGATATATCTTCAAGATGCACGCGTGTGATAGAGCCGTCCTTAGCAGCTAGTTTATCTGCTCGCTGAAAGCTGTGTATCTGCCACCCTGCAGCGGGGCCGCCAGGGGGAGCTGCGAGGAAGAGAAACGTCGGTGCTTCCCAGAAACCCTTGGAAATTTTTGGTCAGTCTGCAGTATTTCTGTGGAGTCTCTGTAAATTTCAATTTAGACTTGGTGAACTGCCTTGTAGTTTTAAACCGCCAAATGAGTGTTGAACTTTTTACAGAGAGCCACTCACTGTGAAACGCGTGGAGCTGGCCTGTCTCTCAGCTGGCAGCGTTCAAAGCAGTCATGCTGAAATTCGAGGATGAATGAGGACAGTCAGCATTCAGCTTGCGACAATGCAGTTGCCTGACCGTCTTCCTTTCTCCAGTCACTCAAAAGCTCTTCCACTAAAATCAGAAAAAAGCAAGATTTGCAGTTTATACTGTTTTAGTGTGAAAGACATTTTTGGTAAAAAAAGTTGTCCCCCTCCTTCCATCCCATTATGTCTGTCTTTCAAAATATATGTCATTTTCCTCTTCAAACAGAATCACAGAATCATTGTGGTTGGAAGGTGTTTCTGGAGATCATCCAGCACAAACCCCCTGCTAAAAAAGGTTCCCTACCATAAATTGCACAGGAAAGTGTCCTGGAGGATCTAGGATTCTATGATTCTATGATTCTATGATTTAGACTATCTCCAGAGAAGATAACTCCACTACCTCTCTGGGCAGCCTGTTCCAGTGCTCTGTCATTCTCAAAGTAAAGAATTTCTTATGCTCAGCTCAAACTTCTCCTGTTCCAGTTTGTGCCCACTGCCACTTGTCCTGTCACTGGTCACCACCCAGAACAGCCTGGCTCTATTCACCTGACTCCCGCCCATTAGATATTTGTAAGCATTGATAAAATCCCCTTCTCTGTCTTCTCTAGTCCGAACAACCCCATGTCTCTCAGCCTTCCCTTTAAAGGAGATGCTCCAAGCTCCTCATCATCTTTATGGCCCTCCACTGGATTCTCCCCGGCAGTTCCCTGTTTTTCTTGAATAGGGGAGCCCAAAACTGGATGCAGTACTTCAGACATGGCCTCAGCAGTATTAGAAAGGGGGAGGATTGCCTCCCTTGACCTGCTGGCCACACTCTTTTCAAGGCACCCCAGGATACCACTGGTATTCTTAGCCACATGAGCAAACTACTGTTTCATATCACTGTTGTGTGCATGCATGAGGATGTGCATGTGTGTCTCCATGGGACATATGTCATGCCTCGCTACTGGCTGAACTTGGAAAGGTGGGAGCTGCAGCTGCACCTATAGGTATGAGACAGAGACATCCAGATCCCCTGGACATCCCCTCCAGGGGGAACCAAGATGGGTTCCAGCAGACAAGCAGCAGAAATCAAATCCCCAAGTTCTTGAGCTTATCAAAGGCAGCAGCATTATAATATCCCTTAATCCTGTCCCTCCAGTATGAGGAAATGCGGGAACTACCGAGTCTTCCAGTGGCCTGGCTGGCTGCCTGTTATGTTGAACTATCTAGTGTATGTGAAAGATTATCCTAAAATTGCAGCCTCCTTTCTTTCCCAACCTCCCCAAATAAAAAGACAATAGCTTCATTTCCCTTCTTCCATTTTTTCCAGCAGGTGGGGCAGGGGAAGAAGCAGCTCAGCAGTTATGGCATCTTAGGAATTACATCAGGTAGGGGAAAATGGGCTGACTGGGAATCACTTCCCTTCCCCGAAAAGGTGGAAGATTGGATCGGTTTTGACA